GCCCCTAGGAGAACCTCCCAGGCCTTGGAGAGGTGCTGAGTGCAGAGTTGGCACTTCATACTGGAGCGACACCTTGGTTACCTGCTCTGGAGAGGAAGCTCCCCCAACACTGAGGGGTCCCCATGGGAAGGATCACCCCTCCAGGCACATTCCAGTTTCCGCTTTCAGCATGGGCAGCAGTCTCCTCCCTGGAAGGACACACCAACTCTTGCTGCTGCTTCCTGAGCTGAGCCTGGGTTTCTCCAACCCTGGGTTAGCTCCAGCCACATCTGTCCCCATGTCCAATTAGGTTCCTGGGGTATTCCTGGAGAAAAGACCCTGGGATTTCTTAAATACCCCAATTCTAATCTGGGGACACCACCGACATATTTGTTGCTCAAAGGATGGGTGACTGAAGAGTTGGCCTGCTGGAAGTACCTGGACCTCTGAGCCCCAAGCTGACATTCCCTTGGTGTTACCTGTTATTTGTAGCTTCAGGAGGTGAGTCTGGGAAAGGGGCAGAGCATGAAGGACTCGTGTTGTGGGTGGGGGATTTCATGATCCCTGACTTTCTCCCTGGACCTCTTCCTGCAGTGTCTGAGCCTGCCTCAGTCTCCATTCCTGACCTTGGCTTCCACCTGCTCTTTTCTTAGTGTCCCATTGACCCCCTTCTGCTGTCCTGGTCTCTGCAAGCTGAGCCTCCTCCCTCTGACCCTGTGACCACAGCCTCTTCCCTTTGACCTCAGGCTCCTCCAGCAGACATCAGAATGGCCTCCTTTGTAGGGGCAGCTCCTCAGTGGCCACATCATCATCTCTGGGTATCCTCAGACCCACCACTGTGTCATACGGGGCCCTGGGCCCCACACTCCAGTGTGGACTGAGATGGGTACAGATCCTTCTTCCCTTCAACCCCTGGGGAAAAAAACATTCGGGGACTTCTAAGAGCCTGGCCAGAGAGGTTACTTGGTGCACAGCCAAGAGTTTCTTCTGTCCAAGGAGAGAAGGCAGATGCAGGGGATGTCCCCTGACATACACCCCCAAAACATGTTGACCCCAGAACACCCAGGTCAGTCCACCTCAGCCATTCCAGCAACTTCCATTCATGCAGCCTGGGTGGGAGATGTTCAGTGCTGATTCAACACACCAAGATAGGCCTGTTCCTCTCCTCTAAAACCCAGGATCCACGGCCTCCCATTTCAAAACAAAACAAAGCAAATAAAAATCCAAAGAAGGTACATTATAGTGCATTTTTCTTTAAAATATATAATGTTTTGAAAGATAAAAACTCCATTCTGCTAACAAAGCATAACACGATTAGCACAACATACTGACATTGTATCAGGACAGGATGTGGAGGAGCCTGAGAGACACTGGCAATCCATCTGTACTACAGGGAAGCAGTTACTGGAACATTCCAGAAGTGATGTTGGCACTTTAGGCCAGAAGGTGACTCACCATAAGGAGCAAGGCCCAGAAATCCTTGGGTGGGTCGAGGGAGGCAGAGGCAGCCGTGGAGTCACTTTCAGGCCACCTGGATGAGGCTCCCTCTGGTGAGTTTGTAGCTGAATATGGAGTAGAGAATAGAGAAGCTGGATCACCTATCAGAGAAACATGAAGCTGAGATGCACTTCGAGCAGTGGTCCTCCCCATCTCTGCAGGTCTCGGCCCCTCCCCTCTCAGCAAAGAGCCTCTGACCTCTGTCCTTGTGGCTTCACTGACCCAGTCCCCACCAGAATTCTCCCGCTCCCCCTGAGCCAGCACCTCCCTGCCAGAAAGGGTGGGGTCCTGGGACCAGGAGATGAGACCCATCATGGGAAAGTAAATCCTTCTCTCTTTGGGGTCAGGAACCTTACTGCGGCTGGGAAACCTGCCCTCATGGGATCTAATGTCGACCTCCAGGGTGTTGAAGGGACACAGACCCATTTCCTCCTCTTAACTCCCACCTTTCCCACCCACCAGAGCCAGGCCCAGCCATACGTCCCTGTGCAGGTTGGCTGAGACCTCCACCTGCAGCTCGGTGTACCCCAACAGGAGCACATGCAGAGGCTTCCCCCACCTCACCTGAGGCTGTGGCGAGGCTGGCTCCCCAGGCTCTGTATCTAGGTTTTGTCCCAGGACCAGAGCCCATGAGAACTCAGGCTTCCTCAGACCTGCTCTCCCCAGGCCCAGGTTTTTAGGTCGTAACTGCTTACTTGTCACTTTGCCCCTAGATTTACAGCTGAGGTCCAGGCACAAAGCTCTGTCCAACGCCTCCCATTGCAAAGCTGATGCAGACCCTTGTCCCCAGGAGACCCTAGAAGACACATTCCAAACAACAGAGCAGGAGCCGCCTTGGGCTACTCAGTCTGGGTGCTCATCTGCTGTGCAGACTTTCAGAATAATGTGGCAGACGTTTATTTCTGGCTTCACCAGGAGAAAGAAGGAGACAGCACATGCCTTTGACTCCCTCTTTTTGACCATGGCCACTGAGACATGGCTCCTAACACAGAAACTAAAGACTGCTCTCAGGACTGGGGACTTCCTGGGGGCCCTGCCTCTCCCAGAAGCCTCAGGTTTCCATGGAGATAGATTGTTTGAGAACTGGTGATACAGACACCCTGGAATCCATCTGCATGAGGAGGAACCAGAAATCACCAACATTTATGTAGATTCTTTGGCCTTAAAGGATGACCCATCTGGTTAGGAGCAAGGCAATGACTCAGAATGACCAGGGCCAATACACACACAGACAAGTGCCCACAGCTTCCAAGGCCCCACTCACAATTGATGAAGAGTCCCCAGTACACACACCCACTAACACCTGAATATTCTTGCTTCACAGCAACATCCGTTCCTACATCATGAACACACACACACACACACACACACACACACACACACACACCCCAGTGGTGTGCTGGCAAATGCTTCATAAAATGTTCTCCTGGGAGAGGTGTAAACGCCTTGGTTTGTGGTGTTTACCTGATATAAATATCCCAGCAGGACTGATTTCAAGTTACCAACCTGATGTCACTGGTCACAGAGCAGGGACAGATGTGCACCATCAGCTGCCCGAAGCTGGTACAAGCCAGCTCCAGCACACTCATGTCCACTTATAATGAATGAGTTATGTGATATACAAATATGTATTATATACATTAATAAGAAGTCTTACATAAATACAGATCTAAATTATACCTAATTTAGTATTTCTATGGTTTAAGTTTATCCCATGCCGTCATTTACTGGCTCCTTTTTCTTATTTGGCTCCTTCGTGTGCTTTGGTCTCTACGTAATTTTTTTTTTTTTTTTTTGGTCTTTTGTCTTTTTCGGTGTCCGGCAACGGATCGCAACCCTCAGTGTCGCCCCCGTACCG